GGGCCTTAACCGCTCGTCTCGCGTCCTACTAATCAATGTTTCCGCCAAGTGTTGCTGACCTTTCCTACGGTAGTCTACGGACGGTATTAGTACTTAACTCCGATGGTATGATGATCACAACCACGGAAGTTCTTTTACGTCCTTGGTACTTACGTTGAATGACAACGGTTCCCTTCATGACTCCTTAGGCTTAGTTACAACTACCTGTCACCACTGGGCTAGACTCTAGAGAACGTCGGGGTTCAGGTCGTCCACTGGAACCGTCGCGATAACTAAGAGGCCTGTCTTTAAAAGTCCTGCTGAAACATCATATGGGTCTCTTAGCTGGCTAATGCAGCTCCCGACCACGATACTGAGGTTGTGTGGTTGCTTGTTCCAAACCTAAGGTCTGGTGATGCTACAGCCTACGAGCTAGGCTCCTGTGGTAGGCTGGCTCGACTTGTGAATGGTGTCTAGGGTCCCGGCCTAGGCCGAGGGCCCATTGACCTACGTGTGGGCTAGGGGGTCTTGGTCGCGCCCGGGTTTTGGTGTGTGTGCGTGTCCCACAGGTTGAGCCACGATGTGGCCACCGTTGTGGCCATTACGGTGGACCCAGGTCAGGGGGTAACCCACCCTGTTGACCTTAGGTGAGTCCACCAATGTGACAGTTAAACCTTCTTTACCCTCCCGTGACTATCAGACGAGATAATAACGAGGGTAGGTAAGATCTGGCCTATCAAAAACCTAGTCTCGTCGAAATTCCAGATATCCGACTCCTAGATTCTATGCTTCGTGATTATGTTACGAACAAGGTTAAACTACGTGCCAATTATTTTTAGATCTTCACATTTAGCCCTTTGGTAGTCGTACGGACACGACCAACGTGTCTGAAGCTCTGGTTGTCGTCGTACGAAGTTGGAAGCCTAGCGTGGTCCAACGTATGACACGCCACGTGTCATACGTAGTAAGTTAGCCATATCTTCTACTAGGTCGTATCCTAGCGAAAATCCTTGCTCGTATAGGTCGAGGATCCTTCGTATAATGACCTCCTTTTCAAGGAAATCTAAATTCTTATTACTGGGGATCATATCTGCTCGCGGGAGTATTCCGTTCCGTCGTCGCTTCAGTGTTCTTCGGTCGACCGAATACCGTTTTATAGCGATTTTAAGGCGAAGTTTCTTATCACGTTCCTTAGCTTAAACGGCAAGCTACACTTATTGTGGGCAAGACAGGGCAACAGTGATCGATTCTGTGGTGTTGCGGGCCAGGATTTCCCTGGCCTGCAACAGCTATCTAGGTGTGGCCCAAAGGGCACTAGCCAGGTGAGGTGGCGTGTGCGCCCTGCACCCTCGAGGTGGGGCACCACCTCCAACACTTATGCTTCATTTCGTGCGGCGGGCATGTTTTGTTGTGGAGGAATTTGCGATGTCGCGCGAAAGTTCGATTAGGATGGGAAAAGTGGGCGCACGCTATGAGTAGGCACACTGTTGCACGTAGTGGTATCGAGGGCTCAAACATGGAAAAACGAGTGTTGATTTCTTCTTCGATCGTTGGAAGCCGAAGGCTTCCAACTGCTCTAAATACTGCGTACAATGGGGTCCGTTGTTGTGGCCATTCCAGGCCTGGAATTGATCCACGCAGTAGTTTCAATAGAATACCAGCGATCGGACCGATCGCTGGTATGGACGCTATTCGCTGGTATGGAGGCTTGGATTCGTGTGACACACACGCTATGCAGACACGTTATATTAGCCAATGAATTTGTTATAATTGGATATGAAATATCTAGCTATTAATAAGCTAAGCCAAGCTATTAGTTATGATATAGTCTTAGTATGTACTAATAATATAATAATTTTATTTTTTCCTCTTAATATAGCGGCGAGAACTATCACGGCCAGGTCACGAGGTTCTACTCTTTTTTTCCTCCAGAAACAGGTCCAGGAGCTTTATCCCTTAGAAACAGCTCTATGGACCATCACGGTTCACAGGACTTTCTTTATTTACACCTTTCACAACCATCAGCTGGAGAAAGCCACAGTCTTTTAAACAGACCGACGGGCTCTCTTTTCATTTGATGACGTCTGCGGCGTGAATGTCATTGTCTTGGGGGCATCGTCAAGAATCTGGGAATCATTGTGTAAATATGGAGATTACGAGTGACTCGCTATAAGTCTAGTATGTTCCCACCGACGTATCCCATCGATGCCATCTCTTCTTCTATCTCCAAGGCAAGCCTCTGGCGACCACGGACGATATTTGATGATGCTATGACTGGTAAATTTCATGTCTTGGGTCTTCAAGAATGGCAACCGTGGTATATTAAATAGAGGTTATCAGTGAACTACGCTATGAGTCCGCATGCTCCCATCGTCCTATCTCTCGATACCATTTCCTCGATGCCATTTCTTCCATCGATACTATCTCTCGTGCCGTTTCGTCAATGCCATCTAGATGCCACCTCTGAGTAGTCGACGTTCAGAGGTCCCGTTCCTCGCGCTCGGTGGGTCCTGGATTATGTTGGAAAAATCAAAAGGAGAAGAAGACATACTGCCAAAGATAGCGCGGATGCGCTCCTTGTCTCCAAGGACATAAGCGGCAGTGCCAAAATGCCAAATAGCAGAGATAACACGGCAGCAGACCGCATTGTCGCACCTCTGATCTTGCTCTGCGTGCGCATCATGTCTTGTTGTGCTTTCATGATTCCCGTGGTGAGAATCGAAGCTGCGTTGGGATCCAAGTTCTTACCGATTTTGACCTTAGTTACGGTGCCTCGGACGACGACTTCAAAGTGTTTGTCGCCGACGTCAGGCGGGAGCGTGCGGGGGGCGTCTGATATAATTCGAGTTAGAAATAAGCCGAGAAGAATAAATATTACTTACGCTTGAACGTTGCCTCGATGAAATCCATCATGGACTTTTCTTGTCTTTTGGTAATCAAGAAAGCGTCGTTTTGATGCTAGATGTGAAGTGCCCGGTTTTTGTGCGGGGGGAAGAAGAAATGAGACATGAAGGGTTTACGGGTTTTGGTTCCTGGTCAGTGCTGGTCCTTGCGATGTCGATCGTGGAGTCGTGAATTCGTGGACGAGTTAGCGTGAACTTATGGACGAGAAGGGTGCGCGAGCTCAAAGAAATAGTAGTAACCTACGTACGAGCCAAGTCGTAACCTTGATTCATTTGTCTTTTCAGACATTGACTGGCAGGCATTCACTATCTTCTGAGACAGTGCGGTGTTTGAAATTCTGAATAAAATCTCATCAGGGCGGCCCTTAACAATCGCACACGAGCCGTTTCCAAAAGTAGTGCAGGATTTGCAAATTCCGAGGGTCGGATAATTCACTACCCCAGGTAAAATCTTGGTAGATTCGAGGGCTTAGGGGTATCAAAACATAACGCATTGGCGTGAGATTGACATTGTGTTGATGCTCAGTATCCCCTGCTGCTGCATAGTCTGACAATTGGATGCGAGGCTCGCAAGCTGAAGGCGAGCCGCAAGCTGAAAAGCGACCGCATTTCCTAATTTGGGCCCAGATGCAGTCGTCCAATATCCACCCTTCCCATGTCCCTGTCTTCAATCAAGCTTACGCCACTTTCGCTAGTGCGTAGTATCGTCCCGGTAGCGCGGACGAACGGACGAAGATAGCTGATAGCGTTGCTGAATGCCGATGTTGGAGGCTGAATAGCCACGCGACTGGGATTAGACCAGGATTGGGGGGGGGGGGGGGGGGCTAGACCCGGTTGACTGGGACGCCGTTGGGTCTAGAATGCTTCGGGCCTCAGCTCAGGGAGGTAAGCCCGACGTGGCAATTGTCGGCCACACCGTCTTTTGATTGGGGCTGCAGGTGATAGTTACCAGATGAACGACAAGACGCAACAGGAAACTTATCGTTCCCTGGAAAGGAAAAGGACAAATTCGATAGATGGTATCGCAGAATAGAACAAGGCGTGGCCTAGAACAATGTATTTTGATCATGATCACGCCTCGACCGCCAACCCCCTGAAAACGCCAAAAGCCTCCAACACCAACTCCCTGGCACCAGGATACGCAAAATCCAACACGCGACCGTCACACCGTCCGTCCCGGACCTCGGCCTCAGTAGCCCACACAAAGTCGGCATGCTCGGCGGGGTCGAGCACGACCTCCTGATCAGCATCCACCTCGACCAGAAAAGTAATCTTGCGCGCGCGGCCCCCGGCCCACTCGTACTTGTCGTCGAGCAGGGCGGCGACGCGCGCGAGCGCCAGCCCCGTCTCCTCGGCCAGCTCGCGCTGCAGCGCGTGCAGCAGGGTGGCGTCGTTGTTGCGCTCCACCCCGCCGCCGGGGCTCTCCCACAGCAGCGGGAAGCCATCGGTCGCGGCGCGCTGGATCAGTAGGACCCGCGGCACCGGGCCCGGGGCCGACGTCCGGATCACCGTCGCGCTCACCACGAGGTCGACGACCGTCGGGTTGGCCGCAAGGTAGGATGCCGGGGGCGTGGCGAAGGGGGTTAGGACGGCGGGGAAGGCGAGGGGGGGCATTTTGGGTAGTTGCGGATTCCGATTGTTTCAACTAGAAGTTGAAGAAGAAAAAACCTTTTTTTTTTTTTTTTTTTTTTTTTTTTTTTTTTTTTTGGTTTTTCAACGCCACACCCGACGTTGTTGAGTTCTTGATGGTTATTAATAAATAAATGATCCCTATTAAATTGTGGTTTTTGTGTGTGGTGCAGATGCGACAGCTGGCGACGTGTTTCACATCCAAGAATCCAAGACAGGGTTCACAAGGCTCTGGGGATCTTTTGTATCTCAAGGAAAGTGCCACGTAAGACGGCGTCGAGTCTGCCTATCAGGCAGACACAGGTCCCAGTGTGTGAAGCCTTGCTTCCATCATTGCCACGCGTCAAAAGTCCGCGCGCCGAATGCACACTAACCCATCTCCACCTAGCAGAGGATGAAAAGAGTGTCAGTGAATCCACTTCAGGGGTTCGAGTCCACTCCTCCACCCACATCAACCCATCACCCAGACACTCAAACACCAATCGACAAGGTAACGCGGCCGAGCGGTTAAGGCGCTACGTTGGGGTCAACAGCCTTGATATAATCTCGGGATTCCGTGGTCCGAAAGGGTGTGAGTTCGAATCTCACCGTTATCATACCCTTTTTGGTCCTGGAACATGGAGGCGGATGTAGCAACGCCTCCGAACAAGCCACACCACACAGGCACCCAATTCAAGTGCAACATGATGACTTGTGCTGGTATAAAGCACTGCATTGAATAAATGTTTTCAAGTTACATTCCAGAGTCCCCAAAGTATCCGTCTATCTCATCTAATCAGGGCCCCAAAGGGGGGATCTAGGCCGTGGTGATGGGCAAGCCACCAGGCAGCTCCGAAAGCCCTGCGATGGTTAGCGCACGTCCCTCGACGGCATGGATATCAACTTACAGCCCTCGGTCTCCTCCCTCACCGTCTGCGACTTGCTACAGGCAACCGCGGCCTCGGCCGACTGCGTCTTGAGCGCGGTGCAGCGATCGCCACTGCACCGGGCGTCGAGCGCCTTCTGCAGCGCGTCGCCCTTCCAGCCGAACACGTAGTCGCCGTGCTGGCCGTATCCGGTGCTGGCCGACGTCAGTTTCGTTACTGTTTCACAAAAGGGGGGGGGGGGGGAAGGAAGAAGGAAGAAACCCACGGATCGCCCATCGAGTACACCAGCGGCTGGCCGCTCTCGGGCCAGATGGCCTTGTCGTTGAACTCGCGCGTGTCCCACATGACCTCGTACATGAGCTGTGGGAGCCGCACCGGGTGGCTGGCCGGACAAGGGCCCGTCGACTCGAAGCTGCCGCTGCTGGGGTACGCCACGTGGCTCTTGTGGTCGGGCGAGTCGATGTTCTTGCCGTCCCAGCAGCTGTCTCTCGCGTCAGTGCCGGACCTCATTCCCGCTCGCTGGCTGGGGGAGAGAACTCACGTCGGAAAGGTGATGGTGGTGCGGATGCCGCCGCCGCACACCTTCTTGGGGAAGACGACGGTGTCGTCGCCCGTGCAGGGCGCGCCGCCAAAGGGGTTCTGGTCGATGTTGGGGGCGCAGCGGTGGCAGATCTGCTTCTGCACGCCGCGGTTGGCGCGCAGGTTGGCGTCGCCGACGAGCATGCGGAAGCCCGGCTTGAAGGCCGTCACCTTGGTCTTGCCGTCGTAGGGCGGGATGTAGTAGACGGTCACGCCGCCCGACCCGCGCAGCCCCAGGTTGACCATCTGCGGCACGCGCTTGTAGCTGCCGTTGCGCGCGCGGAAGTAGATGTTGGCCGTCCAGTAGTTGCTAAAGTCCTCGGAGAAGGTGCACGTCGTGCACGTCGACTTGGCCGACGGGTCGTACTCGACCGGCGTCATGGTCGCGTTGAACGAGTTGCCGCCCACGATCTGGTGCAGGTGCGTCGACTGTAGCTGTCCCGGGTTGACGAGGGGGTCGAGCCGCTCGATCACCAGCTGGTTGCACTGGAACCGCATCATGGCCGCTTGCGCGAACTGGGCCGCCGCCTCCTGGGCGAAGAGCGCGGCCGCGCCGGCGAGGAGTGTCGCCTTCATGGTGGCTGTGTCGGGTCGCGCGCGCGGTGTCGATGAGTTTCGGGAGCACGTCCGAAAGAAGGGTGCAGAGGGGCAGGACAGCTGCGCGTACCCCCTATCCCTTATAACCCGGGGACGAATCGTCCTAGCCGCTCTACGAGATATTTTGACCAGCCGTTGCGTGCCTCGTCCAGGGACTGGCAGAACGAAGCAGCCGGATGAACTGCCGTATATTGAGCTACCGGTGGATAAATCTGGGGTAAACAACCCCCCCCCCCCTCTCTCGTGGGCTTTTCATTGGGCGCTAGGCCGCGCTGCTGCTTGGTAGAGTACAAGGTCAATCTCGGGGTGAATTCTTCCATTCACCCCCTGAACTACAGCGTTAAACAACTGGCTGCACGCAGATCATGACCGATACCCACGCCGCCGTCTGGCTTTGACAGTATACAGGACCCGGTCTGGCCGCGGCGGTAATATGAGTTGCGTCTAACATTGACATTGAGGATATCTTGATGCTGTGCATTCCTCCTGCCGCTTGCATGGTTGGGCGACAGAAGGAGTTCGCTCGAGTCAACACCATCGCCCAGGAACGTGCTTCCGAGACTCAGAACAACAACATATATTGATTGTCAACCAACCCCGTAGCGCTAGCCATTTCAGACTTTTTGCTTCATACTTGAAAACTTATAACTAGGGAATCTCTTACCTGGAGATGCAACCTAACTGCCATGGTAGCAATGCCCAGGGGACTAGAAGTTTGGACTATGAACGGTAGCGTGGTCAGTAGCATGATCCGTGTCAAAATTGCACGCTTTTTGACTCTGACACGGCAGACCTCTTATCTCGCGCATCAGCATTGAGCGGGCTGGACAACCAGGCACGCGGACAGCTGACGGGTGGTTAGAGTTATTATCGAACTCTTCTCGAACCCTCGATGAATTGCCTGTATATTAGGAGGGGAAGAGCGCGCGGATTAGCCGGAATATAGATCCCGCCCCACGGGGGTTTTGGCGCCACGGGACGGGAATCAGGGACTGAGTGTCGACTTGTCGTCAGACTCGGGGGGATACACAGAAGAGACTCAAAAGAGCCCTGAACGCTGTTGATGTTTTAGACATGCGCGGCGAATCATCAAGACAGGAGCGCCGTTGATGTTTTAGACATGCGCGGCGAATCATCAAGACAGGAGCATTGCGACAATGCGGGTGAGACAAGGCCAGGTAACCGATGAATATCTTATCGTGAGATAAGTAATGGTGGAGTAGAAAAACCAAGACCGAAATGGCACACTGTCTTATCGGGTGGAGTGCGGACTTTTTATCCCCGCTTCGAGCTTTTGTGCTGGGGCATGCTGATTGGACCCGACACGACGACGTGCGCGCATGGCCGGGCGCTGGTCTCAGGTTACGGGCAGCTTTTTTTTTTTTTTTTTTTTTTTTTTTTTTGCGGCGCCGTCTTGCAACAACCGCAACCCTATACAGCAGGTGTTCACCTGTTAATCTTCCGTCAGTATAGTGGTCAGTATATGAGCTTGTCATCTCTCTGGATTTCGCGGATTTCGCTCGGGACCCGGGTCCAATTCTCCGGCGGGAGAGTCTGACGATATTTTTGCCGTGTTTTGGTGTTGCTGTTTCCCCGCGCTGTTTCCTCGAGCGAAAAGTTTTTGCTCAATAATCGATTTATCGATATTTTCTTCCCGCGGCTCCGCGACCCCTGGCGATGGCGTCAGCCGCTCAGCCCGAAGCGCTTGGCTCCCTGTTTTTCCTGCTCTGGACTTTCAGCTGCACATTCAGCTGCACATTTCGGCGTCTGGCCCCTTTTCGCGCGCTTTTTCGGTTCGCCCTGACGAGTCGTCAGGATCTGCACCCTCAGGCAGTCGAGGGATGGGCGCGACGCAGTCTCATTCTTATTTATCGTGTGCAGACCACCACCACATGCGGCGGGGCCCCAAACTACCAAGGGATGCGATGTGCGCCCTCGTATTGCGATCGGCTTCGCAGCAATAAGGGGCCGGCGAGATCCGCAGCGCGATGCACGCCCAGCGAGCCGGTCGCGCACGCATTAGTAGTAGCAAAATAGGTGGCCGGGACGGTGGCAAACTGCGACTCTCCCGTCCCGAGCACGCCAGCGTCGCGACCGGTCACGACGGATGGTGCACTACGCTGGTGGTGCGCTTCTGCTTCGATGGCGCTCTTCTGCTTCGATGGCGCTCTTCTGCTTCGATGGCGCTCTTCTGCTTCGATGGTGCCCCTGCACTGGCATGACTGGTCAGGGCACTTTAGGGCATCCAGGCGGTGGGGGCCAGGCGCGGCTCTGCTGGGGATGGCCGCTGGCGCTCGATCTGGCCTGGTCGCGTCTGGTTCTGGCGTAGCTCGGGTCGTGATGGGGATGCACACCGGGATGCGTCCGGGATGCGCCCGGGGATGCTCGCCGTGGTGACCCTGCCGTGGCTGTCTGATCTGGGCCCAACAGGCCTAGCGTCGCAGAAGAGGCACGCAACTCCCGAAATCTCGTATTGTGCTTGGCACGCCACGCCGCCAGCCAGGCAGCCCCGGAGCCCAACCGAGGGCACCACCCTCATCAGCAAACTAAATTAAGACATGATAATTGTGCATGGTCGGTGCAGTGCGACTTCTGCCCGCGCTGGAGGAGGGGCTAGCGAGTGGGGAGTTGCGTTATCGATAGTGTTTTTGGGGACCGGTGCTGACGGGTGGATTCTCTCACCGGCTTTTGTTTTTTTTTTTGTCTTTTCCTCGGGCTCTCCCTCTTTCCCGTTTCCCTTTGCCGATTGTGCACCAGGCAGCAAGCGAGTCATCGCCCATCAATCAGGCTGGCATTCGGCCGTGACCACCAGCGCTACGCAGGGCTGAGTCCACAGAGGACAGGATGGCTGAGCAGCCGGTAGCGAGATTGGCGACATGATAAGGAATCCCTGGCGTTGTCCGCGACGTGGCGCGGCGCCAACGAGAAAGCAGGGAGCTTCCACGTACGCCAAGCTTTCTCCCATGGTTCCTACGCTTCCAATGGGATGAGCCCGTTCCCTGCCTCCGGTGTTGCTCAGACGAGGGCGCGCGCACCCTTTCCTTTTTGCTTTTGTGTGTAAGCCCACGCCCCAAGCCGATGCCATTCAAATACGGGGGGGGGGGGGGCATCTCCACGCCGCTCGCAGTAGATAACTGCTCACATCCCCCGACCTGGATAAGAGGTTTTCCGTCTGACGGGAGTTTGCATCTCCCCCCACCCTCCCCTGGCGCTCCTGGTCTCACTGGCTCTGCCCGGCAATCACGTGGCGGCCACTTATATATACAAAACTTGAAAAACACTGAAATGACAGAAAGCGCCTCCACATCCACCCTCGGCGTCGAGCAGCAGACATGGTGTGCCAGCGACGGCGCCGTGCCGTCGGTGGACCCCACGACGGTATTTTCGCGGTCCGCGAGTGAGGAGGCCCTGGCGCGGATGGGGTGGAAGAGCGCGCCGGGCCGGCCCAAGCCCATCGAGTGCCGCGAGCTGGTGCCGCCGAACCGGTCCCTCGCCACGGCCACGCCGTCCGTCTGGATGCACAGCAACAAGTGCAGCTGCGGCCCGCGGCCCGC